CCAGCATAGGGGGAAATTATTAAATGTGTCATCCTACAGATAATAGTCCTTGTTAAAACATAGTAGCACATCGTTAATGTTGTGATAGAAGCGGTGAATGCAGTGAAAATGGTGTACTTAGTCCTAGTAAACATCACCTCACATCATTCCTCCTTCTCTGCTCTCTCTTTTTAAAGACACTACAGGATTGATGTTGAGCTGCCACTTCGCCTCCAGCCTGTCTCTATTGAGAAGATGCGTTTCTTACGGGCTTGTGTGATTCGTTCCCTTTTCCATTTATATGAGCCGTTCACCTTGCGCGTGTCAAAGATTCCTCCACTGCCAGAATCCACACCCACTACCTTACTCAACTCCAAGGTAAAGCTCCTCAAAGACCTTTTTATTATAGTTGAGGTGGAGCTGTTTGATTTACCTGCAGACATATGCAAGCAGGTGGATCTATTTGCGTATGGCTGATATTTGTGTGTGACCTCTGCTTTGTAGTTGGATAGAAAAGAAATTCAGTGTTTATCACGACTATTATCAACACTGATATGATTTTAGACTTGAGGATGCAAGTTAGTACTAGACCAAACTTTCTATCACGTGAAGGAATTTCAGTGTGGCTTTACTGAAGACTCTGATCTCAGTTTTTCCACATGCAAAATGCATATTTCTCAGTTTGCTTAACGTCCTTTCCAAGAAATAATTACGAACATCTGCAAAGATGTTAGAATTTCATTGGGTAAATGTCTGCCTTTTTCCTTTTACAGTGTTTACTTTTCTGGGTCAAAAAGGTGTCGGGGACTCGGTCTGAAACGTTGTGGGAGTTCAACTTTAAATTTTTAAAGCAGGTAACATCATTTGCCATCATTTTCTAATACTATAATGTATTCTCTGGGAACTATTCGACTCATCTTTAAAAGATCACCCACCCACCTCTACTCACAAATGACAAGGCGTACTTGTGGTGCACCAGTGTCATGGCAGAGTTTGCACTGGAGCTCATTTTGGTTTAGTTTTCCGAACCTTTTCTCAGCTGTAGTAGTCATCAGCTTCACTTCTTTCTCCTGTTTGTGCATTGCTCCACACAATTTTCTTCTCCAAGCTGGAAACCCGTAGTTCTATTTTTGTTGTTTAATGCTGATTGGCATTAAACAACAGGTGCATTATTGCCACCATCTGGCTGTAGAGGTGCATTACATTCTGTGAAGCACTGGAAGGAGTAATTTTAAGAGACGTAGACAATACAGAAACTTTTTTTGTATAGTTAAACTAATATTTTAATAAATGAAAATAAATCAGAACCATTCTTTTATATCCCCACATATATGTAGAGACTAAGATACAGTGGTTGAGTTTGATGATGTATCTTATTAGCCTCAGATAAAAGGAAACTGCTTGAAAAAGCTGTTTCTCCATCCATTTAGGTTCACTGCTTAATGTAGACTGACTCATTCATCACTAGCAACATTTCTGACAAACACTCTGACTCTGGCTTATTGTGAGTTCTGCTTTCATGTTTTCTGTTTTAAATGTGTCTCTCTGGTGTCTTTGTCTCAGCAGGGAAACGGTAGGAATGGTTGTGCCAAGTCCTTGCGTATGCCTAGACAGTACGAAGATGTTCACATGAATCCAGACTCTGACTGCTATGTGCTTCAGGTCACCACCCTCAACTTCATCTTCACCCCAGTAGTCATGGGCATGACGCTGAGCCTGGCAAGTAACTCACCTTGTTTTTTTGCCTGCCTTAATGTTCCTTTGAGTACTGGTGTGAGTTATTCTGCAGCTGATCTTTACAAGGTAGCAGTGTCAAGTGCTGCCTATAAAGTTTTTAAATGTGTATATAAAAAGAGTTTCAATCAGTGAAAGCAACTGTCTCATGGCATACACAACCAATCAGTAGGTTGTTGTGGTAACTCTTGTTTGAATTGATTGATGCTTTAAAATAAATGTAATACTCCTCACTAGTATATTATTTTACTAGACAATTGACATTAAATAGCATTAAGATTAAAGAACAAAGATCTGGATGAAGATTGCAACTACTAATTCAGCTGATGTGACCCATTAGTATGCTTTACCAGTTAATTATTTTTACTGTGTTAAACTGCTTGAAATAAGTTGAAGTTAAAAAAGGAAATGTGATCAAAATGCAGTTCAGTGTCAGTGATCAATCACACAGGAAGGCTTCAGAGAGCTCTTATGTACTGTTCTGTTGAGTTTTACTAAACACCAGCTTTAGTCTTAACGTCATTCATTGACATACTTGGAAATACAAAATTTTAACCCTGTGTGTTGTTGATAATATAAGACATTTTTACTTTTCTTTTTCCAAAAATCTTCTGTTAAATAAAGTGACTGTATATGTTTCCTCACATGACAAAGGGTTGATTCTTCTTCTGAGCTACAGACTAGAAACTCATGGACTTTTCCTCTTGTTTTGCCTCCTAGTTCACAATAAATGTAAGCACAGACATGCGCCACCACCGCGTTCGGCTTGTGTTACAAGACTCGCCACTCCAACGGGGGAAGAAAAGAGTGGATCAAGGTGGGACTCAGGTGGTGTTGGATCCTGTACACAGTGTGAAGCTCATGGACTGGTGGCATCCACAGTACCCCTCCTTAATCTACTCATGAGTCTCTCTTCTCAGCCCCTACTACAGCAGGCATTGCATCAGGAACCTCATTATTATCTCGCTACACTCATAAAAGACGATACTTGATGATCTGTATATCATGTTCAGTGAAGGTTTTTGGCAAATACACATTTTGATTGTTAGATGTTTAGTAAAACCAACACTGAATTGAAGTGTGACGGTCTGGTCATAGACACATGGGAGAGGGGACCCTGTAGTATAATTGTTGCGGTTTTTCAGACTACATTGCTGCATGTTGAATGTACATGTATAACACATTTTCTACTCTGGATAAAAAAAATCAGAAAGCTCAAAGGGATTAAAAGGGTGGGAAGATTGTACTTTGTTAGATATTTGATTTTATAGTCGCTTGACAGTTCTTAAAATACTTTGGCATGTTACTGCAACAACCTTTCGATTGATTTTAGTTTGAAGCGTCCTCACTTAGTATTATGTGAAAAAGATTGAATCAGCTCTGCACTGAAGGGGCCAAAGAGATGATTTACCTCAGACATCATCTGCTGATGCAGGCAGTGTTTTGTTTTTGCTTTTTCTTGGTTAATAAGATCTTGATTGCCTTGCTGACTCTGTGAGCTGTGTTCTGTACTGCCACCCTTGCAGTGTTTCTTCACCCTCAACTTTGAGCGTGTTCAGTGTCTTCATGTGTGTTGAATGTGTGTACAGTTTTACCAGTCACATGATGATCGTGGGGGGGGCTACCACTCATACAGATTTATCCATCCATGTGTTTGACAGAGTGACAGAGACTTCTTTTGTCCCCCCACAGCAGACAGTTTGACTTTGGGAACAGTTTGTGAAAGCACAGGTGGAGTTATTGATGATGTAATTTTGCTATGTTTCCCAGTAAGCTATTACAGCATGCAAAAGAGTAAGACCTCCCCCAGGTGGAACATAACAATCATTCATCAACTTGTGCTTAACTTGCTGTGACAAATTAAAAAGTCTGTTTAACCTGAACTTATTTGCACATCTGTTGTGGGGTAAGAAGTCATTAGATTTAACCATATGCAGTTGCCATAATGACTTTTTGGTGGCATTACCCAGTAGCAGAGGACGGCTGGTTTTTCTGGTTGGCAGCTGCTGATTGCTTTCGAGTCGGGGACTAGTTTTAACAAATGAGTTTCATTGATAAATCGCTGTAGTGAAATAAAAACTGAAACTGCCCTGTCAGAGTTCTCTGGGTTGCCTTTGAAATGTTGAACAATGTATTTTTTTATTTATTTTTTTATTTCCCTCTTACAGTCGTAGTAGGTATTAACAAAGACTTTATAAGGTACTATTTTACCAGTATAAAACCAGTCACCGATGATCCACATAACTGAGATGAGAATTTTCGGCTCCAACGTGCACCGGATAATCCTCCTCCACATCTCATGTGTGAAGGTTTTCTCACGCTGCTTCTAGAATTAAAGTAAAAGTTTGTTCTGTATTGAGAAATATGACACTGGGATCCATTCAAAGTAAATATACTGCTCAAAAAAACAAAACAAACATCAGATCTCAGTGGGGGGAAATGCGGGAAACTTTTACTGATATTTGTGATATCTGGAAATGTGTCGGGAACAAAAAGATGCCACATCGAGATTAAAATGATCAACCTACAGAGGGCTGAATTCAAAGTCTCCCTGAAAATCAAAGTGATTAAATGATGCAGCATGCAATCCACTTTGCTGAAATGTAATTGCAGCCACTCAAAACAGCACTCGGTCGTTTGTATAGTCTCCATGACCTTGTGTGCATGCCTGATGATGTTGGGGCATGCCTCTAATGAGATGACAGTGTCATGGGGGATTTCCCAGCTCTGGACATCAGTGAGCTCCTGGACAGCTTTAGGTGCAACCTTGCAGCATCACAGAGGTGTTTTATTGGATTTAGATCAGGTGAGTGTGGGGGACAGTTGATGGTATTATTTCATTACTCCTCCAGGAACGTCCTGCATCCTGATACTTAATGGCAGTCAGGATAATGTTGCCTAGCCTGTAGAGGTATGTGGGTCCTTCCATTGATACGCCTCCTCAGACCATCACTGACCCAAAAGTATTTACGGGGCTTCACTTATTCCACATTTTGTCATGTTACCGCCTTATTCCAAAATGGATTAAATTTGTTTCACCTCAAAATTCTACACACAATAACCCCATAATGACAAAGTGAAGAAAAAAAACTTCTTGCAAATGTATTAAAAATAAATAACATCCACATAGGTATTCACAGCCTTTGCCATGACACACAGGTACAACTGAGCTCAGCTGCGTCCTGTTTCCACTAATTGTCTGTCACACCTTTATACAACTTGATTGGAGTCCACCTGTGGTAAATTCAGTTGATTGGACATGATTTGGAAAGGCACGCACCTGTTTATATAAGGTCCCATAGCTGACCGATTATGTCATAGTACAAACCAAGCCATGAAGTCCAGGGAGATGGAACGAGGCACAGATCTGGGCTGCAATACAGAGGTGTTTTTACAGCATTTGAGGTTCCAGTTAGCAGAGTGGCCTTCATCATCTGTAAATGGAAGAAATTTGGAACCAGTAGGACTTCCTGGAGTTGGCAGCCTGGCCAATTTAAGTGATCTGGGTACAAGAACCTTAGTTAGGAAGGTTCACTCTGTCAGAGCTCTGGCATTACTTTGAGGAGAGAGGAGACCCTTTTAGAAGGACAACCATTTCTGCAGCATTCCACCAATCAGGCCTGTATAATAGAGCGGCCAGATGGAAGACAACCCTCAGTAAAAGGCGTATGACAGCACACCTGGAGTTTACCAAAAGAACTGATGAAACAAAGGCTTTCAAATATTGAAGACCTCTTTTTAAAAAAAAAAATCAAGATTGAAGTCTCTGGTTTAAATGCCAAGTGTCATGTCTGGAGGAAACCAGGTACTGCGCATCACTTGGCCAATACCATCCCTACAGAGAATCATGGTGGTGGCAACATCATTCTGGGGATCTTTTTGGCAGCAGGAAATGGGAGGCTATTCAGGGTCAAGGGAAAGATGAATGCAGCAACGTAAAGAGACGTCACTGATGATATCCTGCTCCAGAGTGCTCAGGACCTTTGGCCTGGGGTGACTATTCATCTTGCAGCAGGACAAAACTCCTAAGCACACAGCCAAGATGACAAAGGACTGACTTCAAGACAACTCTGTAAATGTCTTTGAGCGGCCCAGCCAGAACCCAGACTTGAACCTGATTGCACTTCTCTGGAGAGAAGTGAAAATTGCTGTACAGCAAAAAAAAATTGCATCCAATCTGATTGAGCTTAAGAAGTTCAAAGTGCAAAGAAGAATAAGAGCCCCAAAACAGGTGTGCCAAGCTTGTAGTATCATGCTCAAAAAGACCTGAGGCATTAATTGCACTTTGAATAAAGAATTGAGCAAAGGCTGTAAATACTTGCCTACTTTTTCCCGCCTTATGGGTTATTGTGTGGAGAATTTTGAAGTGAAAAATGAATTTGAATGTGTTTTGAATAAGGCTGTAACATGACAAAATGTGGAACAAGTGACGCGGTGAAGAAGATGGAATACTTTCTAGATACACTGCATCGCCTCATGCTACCTGTAGTGACACTGACCCCAGCCACATGCAAAACTAGTTTAAATGAAAGGGCAAAAGATGGGGGAGGGGAGGGGTGGTGACCTCCACCTGGAAAAACCATGACTGTTGTGGGCGGTTCTCTGCCTTTTTAGTGCACTGGTGAATTTCATTAACACTAAAGCAGCTGAACTTGATTAACAACCCCCTCTCCTACCTGACTAACCAGATCAACATCCCAGAAGTTTAACTGAAGCTATGCTGTCTTTCAAAAGTGTTTAATTTTGAGCAGTGTGCCACAAAGACTGACATTTGTTAACGGAAGATCATCAACAGGCTGCACAATGAAACAGTCATACCAGATTTTCCTTTCGTTTAGTTCTTTGAGTGCTTTTGTTGAACGACTCGGAACTAACTTTGCAGTCAACAGGCATCACGTCACTACCTCAAAATAGCGCATCTTCTGGTTTACGCGATGTAAAAACTACATTTCCCACAAGGCCGTTTTGCGCTTTGCCATTGGCGGTGGCACAGGTGACCGCGGACGCTCTGAGTTGTGACAACTTGACCGTCAAAACGAAAACAAATTGGCTAAGTGTCATCGGTTACACACGCGCTGTCGGTGTGTGGAAATACGGGGAAAGTCAAACCTTTTAAACCTTGGTTTAAAACTCAGCTTGTGATAGTTTCTGACGGACTTGGTGCCAGAATATATAGAAGTGGCCACGCACTTTTTTTCCCCTCCTGAGCTTGACTCTTATTTTGTACTGTCTGACCTTCAGAGCGGGTAAGTTAGATTTCACCAACGCTACTGAAACTGTTAGCCTCTGCTGAACCGCTGCTGCCTCTAGAAACCCCGTGAAAAGAAAAGACAAGTGCGCGTTTCTCTCTTTCAACGCAAACTTGGGCGATTTATCGACTTAAAATGGAATGGATTAGATTGAACTAATTGATTATGTAGCCCTTTTGGCGAAATAAAAGGCATAATTTCATCAAATTAATACAAAAATGAATTGTGCATATAGGCTACAAACAGAAATTATACAGGACATTTATTCTACTTACGTAGTTTTGCCGCCTTGAATATATTTGTAGAAAGATTTGAGGTGTTCATGACACATTTCAGAATTTATTGCGTTAAATATTTTTGTACGTGTAGTTTTAACCATAATTTAAATATAAAGACACATTTGCCATTGTGATGAAGACCCTGGAACCACTAGTTTGCAGTGCGCTGCACCACTTTTTCCCTTTTACTGTCCTCTGCGAGTCTGCTGGGAGTTGCCCCTCTTGCCATTTATAAGCTGCAGCCAGACCGGTATCAGTAACAACACCTCAGCCTTGGGGTATGCTGCTATGTATAAGTCTGTGACTGTACAGACTGTATTACTGCTCTGCTTGTTAAAGTACTTACCTTTAAAGTTATGCAAGGTGCCAACGTGATGAAGGCATCCCTGATTTATGCAGCCTTTCCTCTCAGCACAGAGCGCTATTCCTATTTCCATGTGTGCGCGCGCATGTGCTGTATGTATGTTAAGTGGAAAGTAGAGTTTAGCATGACAGTTGCTGTCTGGTAATGCAGCGATAATAGTTGACTCTAAAGGCGCATGCGTGGTTGGGTTTAACAGTCGTTTCACCGTGAAGTTTTAGCTTGCTTTTTCTGGACTGTGGTTAAACTGTTTGACCAACAATTTACTTAGATAGATATGACGTTCCCCAACTAAAGGTGAAATAAATTTAGATGAAGCCAATTATTTAAAAAAGCAGATTCACATCAGCAGAATAATGTTTAGCATCAGCAACCCCTTATTTATTTACCCAACACCTTGGCTTCACATACTCCCCCTCCCCCCCATCCAGACCATGGGTGCAGTGGCTCAATGCCCCCCTCCTGCCTGAGAACATATTTGCGACTCTATATTACACCATCAACGTTTGGCATAAGACTCTCTTCTCTGACCCTTGGTCTCTGCAATCATACATACTGTTCCCCAGAGAGCAAAGTCGCAGTGGAAATATCAGCAATCTGTTTGTATCATCTTTTGGGTTACTGCTTAAATTCATTTGTCTTTCCAGCTTCCATCCTTTCTGCATGTCTAACAAATCTGTGAAGCTTGGGTTAAGGGGAAATGCAGTGGGTTCCTTTTATTTGCGCTTGCCTTGAATCACTTCCAGTAAAATGAGTTTTGCACAAAGGCATCAATGAGGTCAGGGTTCATCGTGATACGTGAATATATGCACATGGGTTTTGATATAGAAGACAGGGAGAGCTGTGAGGCAAGAGGATGTCTGTCTACATGTTACTGAAACACAAAAACACCCACAGATAAGTATGCATGTGACTGGATTTAGATCTGACTATGAGAATAATGTATAATTTGAAATATGCTTGATTAGAAACTTTCTTTTTTCCTTCTGCCTCTGTCTAGTTTACCTCTGACTCTCTTTGTTTCTCTCTCATGACTGTGACCATGACTGTAACCAGTCAGAAATGATGAAAAAAACTGGGCATCAGCATGGGCAGATAGCATAGCTGTAACTAATCCAGTCTGCATGCCAATGAACCATTTTAATTGAATTATTGCCTTGTAATTTTATGACGTGCCTTTCGGCATGTTTACATAACGGAGATTATACTGCTTATTAGCTAAACTTTCAAATAAATGATGGATTGCTGGAGATATATCTACATAGAGTCAATTGATATTGAAACTAAATTTATAAGATTAAATGTATTCATGTGCAAGGTGTCTGTGTAGCTGTTTAGACTCCTTTTGAACAAGTGTAGGCACACAGATAAGAATGGGACTGAAGGTCATCGTGAAACCAGCAGGGTTATGTAGTGCACACAATACGAGAGGGGCCAGGGTTATTAAACGCACAGAGCTGTCAGGTCACTGTCAGCAAGGTCAGAGGTCACTGGTCACAGTATGCAGAGCAGCAGTAACGCCTGATAGACTGACTGCACTCCAATTCTCTCCAATAGCACAGCTGCCACCTGTTCAGACAGAGCAGCACAAGAACCCAAAGTTGTGATGGAAACATCACAGGAAATGTGACCACATCAAGTATTCTAATTAAGATTTCATTTTAGTATTTCTGTTCCCTGATTTGTGTTCAACTTGGCACAGAAAGGCACAAATTAGTACAAGCATTGCATCCTGTGGGTGTGTGTGTGAGAGGGAGAGAGAGAGAGATGTTTTCAGCCTCATTGGGTATGTGTCTGCAGTCCGTTGGTGATGGGATTAATTTTCTTCAGGTAAACGTAGGCAGGCATAGTGTATACACACACACACACACACACACACACACACACACACACACACACACACACACACACACACACACACCCTTGCACTTGCACACTGAGACACACAAGCACAGTGGCTCGGTTCAATGGATGTACTCTAGTGTGAAAGAGCATCAGGTGTGTGTAAACACAGCTTCATGCGTTTGCCATATGGACAGCTCTCCCATGACCTACACAGCTTTCTCAGCTCTTGTCCTATCCTGGTGGTTTGTTGGGTTTTCCTTAGAGATAATAATTTAAAAAAGGCAGACAGAAATATAACACAAACTACTGCATAAGCTTTTCACTGAAGCTCGGAGTTTTTCTAGAAAACCACGGGAATGACAGCGTTTCATGTGCTATATGACAACATGACCCATGATCTCCCAGAGGTAAGTGTGGGTGGGGCGTTTTAGGGCATGTGCAAAATGTGTGACTCCACTTCCTCATCTTATCTTCATTCCACAGTTTCACATCCTCTTTTTTTTTAACTGAGAGACAGTAGTGACAGGCTTGCTCAGTCTCATTTCTCTCTGTAAGAATCACTGCTCATCTGCATCTGTGAGTTATACACAACTGGGCAGCTGCAGTGTGTGTTTCTACAGTTCATTGTGAACTGCAGTGATCAGTTGTAGTTGGTAGATGTGTCTCTCTTAAACCTCATCTCTTACAGTGGCCCACAGAAAATGTTACAGTTACCTTTTGTCTCCCTATTAAGATGTTTTTCAGAAATATTAAACATAAAGTTGTGTGTGACATTTGAAAGTTGTTCACACAAATGGGAATGAATCAGTTATTGTGTTAAAAGCTTTTCTTAATAAAGGAAGGTATGTGTAGTAAGTGTGTTTAATGAATATGAAAGAATGTCCTTGGTAGTTTCACTTCTTTCAGGAAGCTAACAGTTGAAGTGCATTGTGAAATTAACACAAAAAATATAGATTTCAAGGTTCAGTGAAGCACTGATGATAAAAGATAAGTGTTGTATCTGCTACTATTTAAGTTGTGCACAAACTCTTTCCATTTATAATCGTCTTCAGTGCTGTGAAAAGTAGTTCCAGCTGAACAGTTCAGTTCTTTACTAGGAACTTTCACATGTACTCCACAGACTGCTTCCTTAATGTTATGCCCTGTGGGCTCCTCAAACAGGTTTTCATAATGTGATTCCAAGTGTTGTTGCTATTGACTGTACTTTGAAACCACTGGTGATTTGAAAACACAAATCTGCTTTCTCAAGATTATCTCACCAGCATTTTTTAGCTTAGATTTCAGGCTAGTTTTAAGGCATAAAAAAGATCCAGGGAGAGTATTTATTGACTCACTGATGACTCATGATGACATATTTATCCATATTGGATGCATAATGGATGGATGCATCTTCTGCCTTTGACTAATTGTCGTTCGGAAATGGCTGTTATCCCAAATTCCTGGAACTTATTATCATCTTGTGTTGACCTTACTTTTTCATCTAGGCTCAGAAATGTTCAATCCTCCTCAGCTTGTACCTTTTTGGGGTCGGGGTGGTCATACTGAGCTCCACAGTGGCGTCACATTGCTTTTCATGTTTGTACTTGAAGATTTAAAACAACAATATTTTACTCCCTCAACAGCATATCTGATTTAAATTTGCCCACTATCCCCTTCAAGGTCAGCTCATTGCGAGGTGCTGTAAGTGTTCCAGCACTCCTGCTAAGCTTGGATCGCTCCTTGGAAGTCCCATTTTGACCATTTCTAGGCATGCATTTGCAGTGCCCGATAACAACTGTTCAACTTGAATGTCATTTTAAGGAAGAATATGGAGTCAAACGGAGTAGTTCTGATTGTAAACAGCTCAAAATGAGCTGAGCCTGCTCTCTAAGTTCAGGTAATTTGAGCCAAATTTTCACTGACAGACATTTGACCTTCAGGGACAAATTTACAGTGACAACTTGTGAATTAAATAAAATGACATGGACCTGGTGGCACTACTCACCTCATGATCTCCCTTCCACTCTCCCATTTAAGACCACTGTTCGGTCTTTGTGTCAAAAAAGAGAGGCCAGTGTCCCAGTTACCCATGATGATTAGCAAAAGGATAGCTGGGTCCGTCTGACTCAGAGGTTGATGTTTGCTGTTCACGAAAGTTTGAGGTTCATGATGAAACTGCAGACAAGCATGGTACTTCCAGGAAGTGATTTAAAAATAGCAGGACTGCTGGAAATGGTGCAGGTCTTCACAAGGAGCCAAAATTAAATCTGGTATATTTTATATGCCTTATGGATTGAGTTCAAGAACTTTCTTTGAATTGTACCTTGTGCAGCTTTCAGTTATGAATTGAATACAAAAAGATACTCAAATTCCAAGTGATTATAACTTGATTCCTTAGATATTTTCTTTCCCCTTGCATAATGCTGTATGTTATATAACCTGAAGGTGGTTGGCTTCTCGCTGTCATTCCCAAAACACTGGCATATTCAGTGTTTTGGGAATGACCAGGGAAAAATCCTGAGTGAAACAAGCAT